TATTCTCACAGCTCTCTCCCTTACCTATCTGATTTTATGTACCATGTTTCTACAACATTCACCCACCACAACTATTGGCAGTTATTGGTCCAATGAACTTCTCCCAGTGCAGACCCTTGCACTGTAAGGAATACTGACATGGCTTGTGACAACTCGGAAAATGGGAATTAGCAGTCCTTGCTACAGACTTAGTCAAGGTGAACTTAGTGACGTCTTGTTTTCCTGCCCCAGAAAGGCTTACTCCAAAGGATTAATTTTAAATGATGTTGCAGTAGACTGTAGGCAACTATTTAAAACATGGGTTTTTTTGCAGCAGAAGCTCAGCCATTTCTTTACTAAATAGGACATGGAGAGAAGTGCATTTACTCTTATGATAACAATTATTGTGGTAGTGCAGTATTTGAGTAATCTACCCCAAGGGTATGCTACCCTTTCCAGTTCACACTGGGTACAGCCTCCCTGTTATCACAGGAATCCATAGAATCCTCTCCTCTACATAAACTCTTCTAGCTTCATTTTAAACTACACAGAAGTATTTTCCCTTCTTCCCATAAAATAACATAGACAAAAGATCAAAAAATTAAAATAAAAAATTCAAGTCTAATATATTAAGTGTCCATTTATATCCACTGCTCTCATTTTTTTTTCTTGGCTTACGGTCTATCAAAGAGACAGTAAATAAAAATTGATATATCAACACTTCATATCTTCTTTTGTTAGGCCAAACAAGCTAAATTCTTCTAATTTCCCTTGGTCAGAAACACTTGCCATTCATCACTCTTAGTAGTTATTTTCTACACATCTTCTGGGTTTATTTTAAATTATATGAATCTCACCCTACAGTACTGGCACAGAATATCCCTCTGCCATATTTTAGGATTGTCCTTCTCACAGCAGCTTTACTCTAAATGCTCATTTGTGTATGATCAAATTGTTTTGCAAGTGTTCCCCACCTCAGGTTATTTCTGTCACAAACCAGAGCTGATCAAACTGTTCGTTATCACTTCACAAGATTAAAACCTGGTACTGCTGCACTTGACACTGTTTTTACAGGGTAATCTTGCTTTCCTACATAAATGTCCTTCCTTTGCCACTGCAATCCCTCATGGGTTTTGCTATCAAAACATCCTATTGGTGCTACTTTTATTAATGAAAATTAACCAAGTTATCCTCCTTTCTCTTCAGGAGTACTATGTTCTCTCCTTCCCCAATAGCTTCTTACAATCTCAGTTTCCAAGCTGCCTCTTCACTAATTTCGTATTTCACTAATAAATGCAACCTACTAAATTCTTTTTATCTGGGGAATCAGCTACCTCTTAAAAGGGAATACCAATATTAAAATATTTAGCCTCCCTTAAGCCGCAACAACATTTTAGTCTCAATTACAATGCCCTTGAAACAAGTCAAGAAGTTTCTGAAAATCTGCATCCATCCACGTTTCAGTAGTTATTGCAAGCTATCACAAGATTCAGTAATCAGGTGTATGGAGTATGCTCTAATTCTACAAGGCACTAATGGCTACCAGCAAGCTGGGTGAGAAAGCAGCATTTCCTCATCCATCATACCCTGAGTTATGTAACCCACCAGCTGTAGTGCATGCTCAGAGCATCAGCTCACAACCAAAATGACTCTGCTGACCTGAAAGAATACTTCGAACTTCTACTGTACCTCCCCCTACACGAATATGTGAGATCTAACACATAACCCACAGTAAAATTGTTAGTACTTACAGGAAATGAAATAGAAACAACCCAGAGACAGGAGACAGCAAGTACACTTGACAGTATTTCCTTTTGTTCCTCAGCAACGAGCACGTGTGACCCACACTTGACTCTGTAGCCATTTCACAAAACAGGGATGTTTATTGTTCACCCACTGAGGCTGCACTTTCCGAATGCAGCTATGAATGCTGCACTTGCAGTTTCCCAGGAATACAATTTGTCCTTGCACACTTGGCATTATGATTTTGGGAAAAGCAAGGATATCTTTCCGAAAGGCCCACTTTCAATGTGTGCCTGCTAAACTGTGGTTCTCCTCCCCCCCAGCACATGCTTAGCTCAGGAGTATTATGGAAATGAGGGCTTGTTTCCAAAATGGCATCCATCTGTTTTGCTGGTTTTTTTAGCTCAGACATTTTTAAAAAAACAAACAAAACCTCAGCATAACAGCCCTCGGCGCTGGGATAGAGATGGTTTGCCAGCTGATAAGGTTAGGAAATGCTGCATGTTTGCACAGCACCTCACAAGTGGGGCTTTAAAGTCTTACTGCAGAAAGATTGGTGATAAGCAAGTAAAACAACAGAAGCCAAGTCTCAAAGAACTCTTAACTGGCTGTGGTATGTTTACAAAAATGTGCAAAATCAGTTATTTTCTGTAAGTAATTTTAGAGGAATCCTCAACACAACTGGTCAGCCCATCCACACACACACTTATGTATTTATTCATGGACGTACAGAGGCCTTTCACCAGGGGAAATTTAAACAAGAGACAACGAGAAACACTTCATTATTCCCACCCGGAATCACAGAATGGTTTGGGTTGGAAGGGGACCTTGGACACCATCTTGTTCCATCCCCGTGCCTTGGGCAGAGAAACCTTCCGCTATCCCAGGTTGCTCCAAGCCCCGTCCAGCCTGGCCTTGGACACTTCCAGGGATGGGGCAGCCACAGCTTCTCTGGGCACCCTGTGCCAGGGGCTCCCCACCATCACACTGAAGATCTTTTTCCTAATATCGAACCTAAACCTACTCTGTTTCCATTTGAACCTGTTCCCCCTTGTCCTGCCACTCCAGACTCTTGTGCCCACATCCTTCCTGTGAGTTCCCTTCAGGTACTAGAAGGCCTTAATTAGGTCACCCCAAAACACCCTCTTTTCCAGGCTGAACAATCCCAATTGTCTCAGAATCTCTCGGAAGAATCCCAGTTCTTCTCAGGGTGGGGAACCACACCCCCACGTAGTCTCACTACGAACCAAACCCCAGCACAGCCAACACCGCAGCCGCCCCCCGGACCCGGACCCGAGCCGGCCGCAGGCCCCGGGGCGGAACACGGCGCTGCGCCACGACAGAGCCCCGCAACCACGGTGAGGGGCCGAGCGGGAGGGGGCGGCGGGGCCGGCCCGGCCTCACGGCGGTACCTGGAGCGGGTGCGCCTTGCTGAGGTGCATGTTGAGGGCCGGGCTGTTGGGCAGCACCTTCCCGCAGCCGGGCACGGTGCACAGGATGTTGGTCCGCACTTGGGACAGCTCTGTCACCGAGGGCCGCACCAGCTCCCCGGCGGGCGGCACGTCCCTCACAGGCGCGGGGGGCCGCCCCAAACCCCCGCCACGCCGCCCGGCCGCCGCCGCCATGTTGCTGTCAGCTGCTCGGCCCCCGCTCCGCTTCCGGGGGCGGCGGCCAATCGGCGGCGGCGTCGCTGAATATTCATGAGGCACGTGGCGCGGCCCCGCCCCCGCCCCCCAGCGCCCCGCGGCGGCGGCTGCGAGCGGTGCGGCCGAGCGCGGGCCCGTGCGCGCTCCCGCGGCACAAAGCGCGCACACCGCGCACCGGGAGCACCGGGACACGCGAGGGAAACGGCGAGTGCCAGCCCGGGCACGGGACCCACCCTGGCGCACACCGCTCGGCGGCTCCGCTGCACGGCCGAGGGGCTGCGGTTATTGTGTTGCCCTGGGAAGTGGAGAGGCAGGCACTGATTTCTCTGCAGGTCCGTGACAGGACACGAGGGAATGGCCTAAGCTCTGGCGGGATAGTGAGGCTGGATATTAGGAAAAGGTTCTTCATCCACAGGGTAGTCAGACAGGCTCCCCTGGGAAGTGGTCACAGCAGCAGCCTGACAGAGCTCCAGGAGCATCTGGAACACTTTTATTCACAGGGTAAGAGCGTTGGGGTGCTCTGTGCAGGGCCAGGAGCTGGCTGGACTTAACAAAACTTACGGATCCCTTTGCAACTCAGAATATTCTATGATTTCCTGACACTGGAATCACCAACACAACACACAGCTTTTTTTGCCTATAGCTGGCCACATTAAGAGAAAAGATGAACACCATTTATTGGGTAAGAGTTATGCCATAGATGTAGCCCCAGGATGTGCGTTCCTCCTGCAGCCCCTGTGCCCTCAGCTACAGCTGTTCTGCTGCCTGGGGTTAGCACAGAATAGTGTGGGTTGAAAGGGACCTTTAAACATCATCTAGTCCAACCCCAAACTTCCAATTTGCTGGAAGAGACCAACTGGAATGGGGAAGACAAGACTGGTCTCCACATTTTCCCCCTTTGCCTTACCTCACGTCCTTGATGGGGACACCTGCTCAGCAAGAAGGAACCCCAGAGTTGCAGATTTTTCCTGACAAATCAATAAATACACACCTCCTTGCCTGAAAATGCTGTGTAGTTCTTGGAATATCCCTGCTCACAGGAAGTTAGAGATGAAAATCAGAGATACCAAAAAGAGAATGTTAAAAGGGAGATGAAGACTACCTTTCCCAGAAACAAGAGGCAGTAGGCCAGGTACTCACAGTATTCTAGAGCACTTGGGAACTTTACCTTTATGGTAAATGACTGCCATCTCAGGCATTTAGGTTATTTGGGAGAGAGCATTATGAACAAGTTGCACAGAGTGAAATATATGCTGGAATCTTAATGGATTTGAATCCTGGAAGTATAGTGAGACATGTTAAGAGCCAACTCTTAGTGTCTATCACACCAAACCTGGAATTCTTCCAGAATCCTAACATTATGTTAAGTATTTTATCAAATCAACATTTAAATCACACAGGTGGAATTCCTAAAATCCATACCACTAGCAGATAGTCCCAAATCTCTTTTCATGTGTGAGTTATAGGCGTGCTGAAAATCAAACCAAGCCAAAATACCAGTATATGATAACATATGTTCATAACATATATTATGTATTTTATATATGTATTATATACATCAGTATATGTCAAGTCAGGCCAAACAAACTTTTATGAGAAGACCTAATTTACACATTTATTTACAGCCTAAAAACAAAAACATGCCCATACAACCTCTGGACATACAGCTGCTTCTGCACACTGAGATACTAAAAGTATATTAGAATTCTACATACACCAAATATACACAAAACAATCCAGATAACAATTAAAAACAAAAACTTGTACATTTTAAATGAATCAAAATTCATTTAAATGAATCAAAAAAACAAAGCAGAAAATATCTATACAATTGCCAATGTTTACCAACTCTAAAGAACGCCAATGCAAAGCTGTTTGCATTAGTGACTATTGACATCTTGATTCCATAATCTTTGTCCCCAAGCATAAAAAACAGTGGCAATGGGCAAGAATGTCAGAAGGATCAAATATTAATTAATTGAGATGTTCTAAAATATGTAAATATGTACCTTCCTCAAAAGAAAATATTGCCTCTTTCAATGTATTCTTCCAACATAAAGTTTCCTAAGACATTAATAGTGACAGGCAGATTTTCGAGTATTTGTTACTGGCTGTTGCCCTTGGTGAGAAAGACTTTGGAAGCTGAATTAATACCTCCTAAAACTGGATAGAAGCCTCTCACTGACATCTATATTCTCAAAGTCCATTCCTCCCTATGCCCTGAAATAGTCTTTGAATACAATTTATCAGCTTAGATAAAAATGTGCCTGAGCTGCAGCCAGAGATCCCCTCTCCTTTTGCATGGGACTGTTTCCCTCTTCCAAACAGGGCAGGTGTTCTGTGCAAAATATGAATGGCCAACTGCAGTATTGTAGCTATCTACAGCTATGATAGCAAAGAAAATAGCTACAGCTATTATTGTGTCTTTATTAGCTTCATAAATAGTATTAAAAATACAGTTAAGAGCAGTGGTAACATTTAAATTTCATATATTGCATATTTCTCTATGAATCAGTTTTAAATTAAGGGCTCACAAAACCTTCTGGAAATAAACCTTTTTTCTCTCTAATTTTAAAATAATTCCTAGCTTTATGTGGTATACATGTAAGAAGCGGTGAAAGTGGTGCATCAGCCATACCTGGAGAGAGAGAGAGAGAGAGAGAGAGACAGATAATTGCAGCTGTACTCAAGCATTATTTATCTTTCATAATTGTTAATAAAACTGAAACAAAACTAAATCACTAAAACTAAAAGCACAGCTTGAGTATCCATATACAACCAGTAATTCTAAGAATAAATTGTTAGATATTTAGACATAAGTTTTTAAAATGGTAACATTTTTGTTCTACTATGTTTCTTTTTCTAAACAAACTATGAAGTTGTTCCCTTATACAAGCACAATGTAAGAAGACAGAAATATTTGGAATGGAATTTCCCTCCATTTTACAGAATTGGAACACTTACCTGCTGGTGCCAAGGATTTCAGTGATTCTAAGAGATGTGGACTAGAAAACTTGACCAAACATCTGAATGGTTCTTTTTTATCCAAAACATCCATTTTAGGATCACTTTTAAACATTGTCTCAAGCTGTTAACACAAAATTTAACCAATGAGTATAAGCAATGAATATATTTTATTTATATGTTATTACATATTACATTTACATACTCTAATTATTTATTATACTACGTATTACATTATGTTTAAATAAGACTTTCCAGTTTGCAATGACAACATGATTCCAGCTGAAGGAATGCTGTAGTAAAATCGGAGGGTGCCACCATGTGGCAGAGTTTTCTGCTGAAAACAAGAGGCAGCTTTGTTCAGTAATACTGGAAAACATTTAGTATTTCTTAGAATTTTCAATTTATCTGTTCATGCAATAAAACCTGTGCATCATCGAGAAGTCAGTTATGGTGTCATACATAGCATAAACTTAGCATGTATTTAAAATAATCCTGATTTCTCATGCTCCAACACACTGCTAGTCTAAGTCTACCTTTATTACAAAAACAGGTTGAAATGCTGAGTTTCACAAGGCTGAAACATGATTTAAAACTCTGACCAAATTTCAATCTGTTTCTTACTTTCTTACTTTTAACTCATTTATATTAAAATGAATAACAATGACAATAACACATAATATATAATATTATACTATTATAATATATTAATATATAATATAATAATATTTTAAATTAAAATTTTAAAACTCCCTGAAGTTTGAAAAAACCCATAATATTTCTTAAATTTGATATTTAATCTAACTACCACTTCATTAAAAGTAGAAAACCCCAAATCAAATTGGTTGCTTTTCCTACCCTGTATTGTGCAAATTCAAGTTTTGGTAAGGGACCACTGCCAAAAACTTCCTGGTTCAGTCTGTGAATTCTTTCTTTCTCACTTTTGTTTTCTTCAACTATCCTTATATCTGCTGCAGGGGAGAAGAATAGGGGAAAGAAAACAGAAAGACAACATTGTCTGCTGTAATACTGGTTTTTTTAATCAAATTATTCCAAATGAAAATTTGTAAATAATGGTTTTAATGAACTCATTGCACTCTTTTTTTGGATAAGTTTATATTTTCAGTTCTTAGCAAGAGAAAAACACAAGCAAATGTGAGATGATAGGCATTGAGTGGATTTGGTTTCCATGTCCAAAGCCAGGGAAATACTGACCTCTCCCAGTGCCAGCCAGTATTAAGGCACCAGGGATGGATAACATCATGGGAATGGAGCATGTACACTTCCTTTTATCAATCTCATTTCACAAGCCAGCAGGAATGACATTTAAACTGCCTTTAAATTTAAAATAAGCATACCTTTTTCTGGTTCTACATTCCCTCCTTCCACAGGTTTTGGACTGTGAGTTTGGAAGTTCTAAATGGACAGAGAGGAAAAAAAGATTTTAGTTCAGTTCTACTTTTAGAACCTCTAGCTGAAAAGAATATATATATCATTTTTTCTTATTCTGGAAAAATGATCTTCCAAATTTTGACCATTACTAGAAGTCTGGAAGCCAAGCCAATTTTGAAAAAGAATGCCTGTCTTAGGATAATTGAGTATGTTTCCCTATTTACAAGTTTTACATGGATGATCAGACTAAGCACACATTCCAACAGCCTTCAACCCGTGGCTCTAGGAAGCCTAATGAAAGATGCTAAAAAAGCTTAGGACTGAATTGTTCCTGTAATTTTTAGTCTGAGTTTAGCCATCAGGAATTACAATAATAAAGAGTACGTGGGATACCAAATAATTGCATCCCCATTGCAATGTTACCTTCATGAAAGCCTGTCAACCTCAGTAGTTCAATATTATTTTAACTGGATGATCTCTTGGAAAAGGTGAATTTTCCCCCTTGCTAGGGGGTAAGAACTAGGCCTGAAACAAAAAGCAAGACTTAGGATTTACTTGTGAAGTGGCTCACCTGGCTATATCTCTTAAATACAATATCTTTAAGGGAGTTTAAAGAATGACTTCGAAGCTCCATTTCACGGATGTCATGGTAATTGGAAGCAACCATCAGGGCCTTTAAATAAAAATTGAAATTGTTTTAACATCAGTCTTAATCATCATTGTGTTAGTAATCTGTAAAAAACATAACATCTCTAGACATTGTGATGTTTTTGTTTCAAGGTAAGCAACTACCCTTTAACTAGGATTTTCATATCTGAAAAAATGTTGCAGAGATTGTTATACAGCTCAGGTTAATATTTAAAGCATTCGCAGTATTAACAAGCTAAGTGCCATAGTTTAACCAGCTGAAAAATAAACAAACAGAATCATAAAATATTTGAATTACTACTACAGAAATTTGAGGAGGTTTCTAAATAGAGGAAAAAAAACTATCAAAGCTGATGACCACAAGTTAACAGAAATGAACAGCATTCCCTGAGTAGCTCATATGCTTAGTTCTTGAAGTTAACAGTGTTGCTCTAATATTTTTCAACTTCTGATACAATTTAATGGAATACTGCCCAAGACTTGGTTAAGAAATTACATTCAGGAGCAGTAAGAATCCAAATAAACTGAATTTATTCACAATGCACCAATCCAAAGATTTGGGTTTTGCCCCATTTTTATCATGAGCTAAGGAGAAAAAAAAAATACAGTTTATAGTTTAGCAAATTATTTTAAGTGAGGCATCTTTACCAATCCTCTTAAAAGCTAACCTGATTATAGCTGTACACAACTGTGGGGAAGTCAGGGTCTGAGCAGTTTTATTCTGTACCTGACACAGCAGAGGCAAGGTGCTCTTCAGGACTGAGGTAGAAATGAAGACATAGGGAGTCTGTGAATGGTACACAACATAGCTGGGCTTATACTGGTTTGGTTTTTTATTTGGTGTTCCCCAGGCAACTCTAATCCAGATTGCATTATCCTCATATTCCTTAAAGGTGATGGTGACCTGACAGAAAAAGAAAAGTTTTGATTTACAAACACATTTGAGTATCCATAAAGATTTTCTTATCTCTTAACATCTCTCTTCAGAAGACCCAAACATAATTTAGTACCACTGCTTGAGTAAGAAAAAAACACACTAAGTGTTGTAAAGATTGTATTTAAATAAAATTTCCACAGAAAAACAATAAGCTCACAAACTGGCATAAAAAGAAAAATCACTTTTCAAACTCTAATATTGCTTTGCTTCCTGTCAATATACATTTTTTGCTGAAGGCTGAAAATAGAAAATAGCTTATTACAAAGGCACTGATGTCTCTTTTGGGAAAATAACACAGAGATGTCTGTTTAGGAGGAGGGCTAGTGGCAATAATCCCAATATGTCATTTGGAGAAACTAAACTTTCAATCAGCTTGTGAATTTAGACCTGAATATAATATTTATCACTGCTCAAGAATACACAATCAAAAGTCTGAACATTCCCTTTTCTATTCTTAACGATTTCCTTGTTTACTTCTTTTTACCTTGACTCAAGGAGGTTGACTTAAAAAAAAATAAACAACAAAAACCCTAAAATATTGCAAAATTTTATTATAAGAGTGATGGGAACAGCAGCTGATTGGCTGTGAGTGTGATTTGGATTTGTTGCCCTCTCCTGTTGTGAGTGGGAACCCACTGGGTATCATGGAGTAACACATGTGATCAGCCAGAGGCATTTTCTACTCCCTTGCCCAAATGAAATTGGTGAGCTAAAGCAATTAAAGGCTCCTGCAAACTGGGAAAAGATCTGATAAAAACCACTAACATGCTGCCTTTCTTGAAGCCAGTCACATTTTAAGACAAACCTATATTTTAATTCCTTCCAGCATAATTGTGAAGTTTCTAAAACAGATATGCAGTACATTTTTCCTATGTTACATGCAGTTTCTATCATTCTCAAATGAATAATTCCATTTAAATCTTGACTCAAACTGTATGGAACAATTATGAAAACAACATGTTGACACCACAGCCGTGAAGCAAATTTAGAATGGATTTATTCTTACATTTTTCAAGGCTGACCGAAGCCTTCCTTTAAATGTTTTTTTGAAATCTGTTATGTCAAAATATTCCAAGTCTTCTCCTGTTACATGAGACAAAAAAACCCAACCAGAAATAAGATTTGCATGTAAAATAAGTAGTTTGGAGATGTTTTTAGTTTTGCTGAAACAAAATTAAGCAGAAAAAATTGAAGTTGCATTATATTATACAAAAAGCTGTATTTTAATTCTGACCCATATTATTGCTATACAGAGAAAAGATTAATATTTAATTAGTAGTTACTCATATATAATAATTGCTTGAGAAGTTAATGGAAAGTATTCTAAAACATTAAAGATAATCTCAACTGAAAAATTCGTACTAGGCTGCAGTAAAATGTTAAAAATCTCTACAGAAAAAACCCAGATGACACTACATCTGTGGTTAAAATGTAGGATATGAGGCAGCAGAGCACTAAACTGCTGAGAATTGTGGCATTAGAGAAAGAAAAGACATTTTACCTGATTTTTTCATCTGGTAAACATTCCACATTCTTTTGTTTTGGTAGACATGGTTGTCTAAGAAAAAGAGGAATTGCTCAATAACATAATGTATTAACAAACAGGAATTAAAGGAACAAAAAAATTTACAGTACTTTTATAGACAGGTTACTTTAAAAAAAATATTACTTCTGATAATGCAATATAATGTATTAACATTCTTAAACTACCATTCATAGCAATCATAAAACCAAAATATTTTTTTATTGAAAGAGATGTAAAGTTCTTTTATAATTTGGTGAGAAGCTAATAAAGGGCATCCCTGGGGTTCAATGTTTAAGGAAGGGTTTTACCTAAACTGCCCAATGTAAGACATGTAGTCTGTTGGAAGAAACCTTGATTTTAACTGTTGTCTAATCGAGTTGTGAATTGATATTGGAATTAGGAGTTACATACTTTAGTTGATCTTGAGCTTTTTGTAAAAGAGGTCACATCCTCTTTTACAAAGATTCATCTAAAGATTCATCTAAAATGTGATGTGCTTACCCCAAATGCATCTGCACCCCACAAGGGTCATCACTATATAATTAAGGGCATTATGAACTTACTCAGAAAGAATAAACGTCATTTTAATTCACTTTTTACGTACAAATTATGTCTAGAACCGCTGCTTGCTTTATGTCTGCAGAATTTTCCTAGAAAGAACAAGAGTGCATAGTGAACTACAGGTCCAGAGTGCCCAATAACACTGTTTATCAAGTGAAAAATAATCTCAGCATTGGTAGTTTAAAGGATATTGCACTGAAGCCCACAGCACACACACTCTCTCCAAAGGCACCACACCAGGTCCCAGGTTTTGTGAAATAATGAAAACTATTTCAGCAAGGCTTAAATGTTCCTCTGCAAGAGGAACATAATCCTTACAGTGTGATGTACAAGCAATTAGAAAGAAAGTTAATGGGTATTTGTGACAATGCAACACTGACTCATATTTCACTGTCAGGAGTTTTAACATATTGGTCATTGCTTATTTATGCTGTACAGCATGGAAAGATTTTTAAGAAACTGCATGACACAATTTGTTATGGATACAAGTATTTCACAAAAAAATGCTATTTTAAAATATGGCATTTGCTGTCTTATGAGAATAACTTAAGAGTTTCTTTCCTGTAGCTTGATCCAGCAATTTTTCAGTATTAAATTCAAAGGGAATAATACAAAAAACTACAGAATTCAAGATGTATCAGTAATAACGGCGTCTATCTGGGTTATGATATTAAAGACTTCCAGTACACTAAAATCTAAATATTTAAATACTACTTCCTGGTAAACTAAAATCAGTGTCATATAATTTTTTTTGCTTACAGCATACTGAATGGGAGTAATTCTGGCCAAGGAAAGTTTTTTAAAAAAAACAAACAACAAACATTAAAAAAACATTAGAAGTCTAAAACATATAAACTAGTGTTATCATTACCCATGCTAAATAGCTTTCAGTCAGGGCTTTGTAATAAGTACACATTTCAATCAGTGCCTTTATTTTACAATTTAGAAATACACCCATTTTTTAAAGGTTTAACATACCAAGCTTTTATCTACCATATATACCTTAAGAGCTCAAAACATGTATTTGTATACTTAGTATAGATCAGACAGAATCAATGGTGTTACCAGCTCAGCTTTACATTTTCCAGACTACAAAGTGCCATTTTAGGCTGTGTTGTGGCCAAAGATTAATATTTGTTTTTTTTTCATAATGCTTCTCATGCACCCTATATGTCACTGACATTTTCTGAAAGAGAGGATTTACCTCACAGAGCTGAACAACTTCTCGAGAAATGTTGTCCTTTATCTGGTGGAAATTTAGAGTCCTCAGCTGTGCCTCAGAGAGAAAGCCCCATTTCTGCAGCAACATCTTGATTTCATCCCTTGGGATTTTTAGCACAGTTCTTCGAATGTACTCAGCCACAGTTTCATCCATGATGGAACCACCTGGATGGAAACCTGAAAGGTTAAATAGAATAAGACCAAGCCACAGGTAGGCTCAGGGGACTTGCTCCCTTCGAAGGTGTACAGAGCTGCACCTCGGCACAACTGGCTGACATTGATGTCAGTCCTAAGTGCGGCACTACTACAGATTTAGACAGTGGCAAGTTAAAATACATGCAGTAACTTACATAGATACTGAATCACAGAATATCCTGAATTGGAAAGGATCCACAAGGATCAGAGTCCAACTCCCAGTCCTGTGCAGGACACCCCAAGAATTCCACCAGGTGCCCGAGTGTGTCGTCCAAACAGTTCTTGAGCTCTGTCAGGCTTGGTGCTGTGACCACTGCCCTGGGGAGCCTGTTCAGTGCCCAACCCCACCACAGGATAAAAATACCTTGTCCTGATATCCAATCTAAACCTCCCCTGACGAAGCTTCATGTCACTGATCACCAGAGATCACGGCCTGCCCCTCCACTTCCCCTCACGAGAAATTTGTACACTGCGATGATTCCCCCCTCAGTCCCCTGTTCTTCAAGCTGAACTGACCAAGTCACATAACGCCCTTAAAAGCTTCTCTTACCGACGGAGGCCTGATGCGAGCAGAGGGGTGCTGGGTGCCGCCCAGGGCTGTGGCTGTTGCTGTCTGTCCGGTCCGATGAGTGTCCGGACCCACGGACAGCGGGCACGAGAGCGCAGAACCCCGGGGCTGACCCAACTCGAACCGGATCCGACCTGACCCGGCCCGGCCGCCTCACGCCGCTCCCGCGCCCGCCTTTCGAACCGACCAATCAGCCCCGGCGCCCTGCCCCGTCTATCCAATCACAGGGCTCCCCGCCTGCAGCACCGCCCGCCCCGCTCCGGCGCCGGCGCCGTGCGCGCTTTTCGCTCTGAGGCGGCTTCCGGCCGAGGCCGGCCGAGTCACTGCGCCTGCCCCGCAGCGGGGTGAGTGAGGGGCGGCTTCGGGCAGAGCCAACGGGAAAGGGAAAAATTCAGGGAAAAGAGGGTGTATAGAGAAACCCTCCACTCCTCCTGCCGCTTTCCCTTCTAGCCGCCTGGTTTTGGGGGGCCGTGCCGAGCCGAGCTCGGGTCCACCTTCTGGGACCCTGCGCTCACGCGCAACGTCGTCCGGAGCTCCCGGAGAGCTTTAGAAGGGCAGGTTTGAGCGGGATCAAGGGTCTCTCCGTTGTGGCTGCCGTAAGCTGCTTTTCCTGTGTTTGTGTGTGTCCCATCGTTCTTTAAGGCCTCCCGGGAGCAGTGAGGACCTGCGGACAGCGCGGGCTGGTTCAGTGGGACCCCCCTTGCCTTAACCTGGTAACAGCAGCTGCCCCAGCCCCGCACCCCATGGCAGAACCGTGCTACTAAACAGTGTTTACTTTCTGCCGAGTGCTACCTGCCTTTCGTCATGGGATCGGGCTGCCTGAGGGGCCAGAGCCTGTCTTTTCTAACATGGAAATGTGATCGGCTTGCTCCCTTACTTTTTGAAGGGGGGAAAGTTGTTTTACAGTAAGAAAGAAGATTCTGATAGGTTCATAGAGTTCTTCTTTGGAAAATTAATGAAATGGAGATGAGATGGAATGAAGCCTGAGTGGATGCAGCTGAAGTACAAGAGCAGCTGCCAAAACAGGAATTTGGTGACAGCACCTTGTTCTTATGTAATTGTAGAGTGAGTTGCGTTGGAAGGGACCTCAAAGATCATGTTCCAACCCCCTGCCATAGGTAGGGGCACCTTCCACTAGACAGTGCTTTAGTTATATGGTGTCTGGATTTTGTCTTTCTTACCTGTATATTCTGCAAAGGCGTAACAGGAAGAGACAGCTTTAGTAATCTATATACTGTGATAGATATCTAGATACAATGTTGTACTGTGCAGTGGTACTGACTGTATGTTATAATAAAAACATCCCACTAATCTTGCAAAACTCTACTGATATTTCTTGTATGAATATGCCCTTAAATCATTGCCAAGAAGTGAAAGTATCTTCTACTTTACTCGATCACCTATTTCAACCATAAATAAAATTGTAAAAATTAGTATTCAAGTTGGTGTTCCACCTGCTCTATTTCGTAGGCTTAACACCTTCCTAATTTGTTTTGCTAAGTATGAAGTGTATATGGTATGTATTGGTATGATGTAGTTTCATCAGGTACTAAAAGCAGGTGAGCTCGTTCTACTGCTATGAGGGAGGTTGAATTGTTGGCAGAAAGTGCTCATGTAAAAAAAATCCATATGAATCTTATTTATCAACATTAAAAAATGATTCTTTAGGTTCAGGGAAAGTAAATGCATTCTATATAATTAAAAAGATCTCAAAGTAGACATAATTGACCCTTTTTGCATTTCCTTTCTAGTCTTCATAGATAGGTTTCTAAATTATTTTCCCCCATTCTAATAAGTGATGTTGGAAAACCAGTGCATATTTTTAGAGACCGAAATTCAAGAGGTCATGAGTAAATTTTGTAAGATTTAGCTAAGTTTGGTTTACTAAAGTGGATTTTAAAATTTCTTGGAGATTCTGGTAAGTTTTGGGTCATTCTCAATGTGCCTAACCACAGCATTAAGGACAGCAGCATACAGTGACACTTTAATATCCTGGTTTGGAAGCTGTTAATGATATTACTGAAAGGTAGAAAGAGAGCCCTGAGTTTTGAGTGCCCTTGGATTTTGAAATGGTGTGCATCAGCTGTGATTTCTCATTTCACTGATCACTGAGTATTCAAAACTATTGCCAAAATTCTTTGTGTAGGAAAGTGCACTAGGCATGCAGTTCTGCTGAAGTGGCATGAATGATAGCTTGAGGTAGACACCAGCCTGTTAGGTGTGGAGCTGAATTTTTTATGCTAAAAATTTGTACAATCTTAGAGAAAATAGGTTTTGAGTAAACAAAAAGTTGTTGAAATTGTAAATACTTTTTTCCAAACACCAAACAGAACAGTACCGTGTAACTGAGAATATGAAACTCCAAATTTTGTATTGCTCAAGTTAGACAGTGACATTAACTGCAAAAATAAATGTTAAACGTGGAGAGTAGAGTGACTTCAGAGGAATCGTGGGGTTGTTCCCCTCCCTGCTGTGATTCTCTGTTGTGGTTTGCACGGTCCTGCTGCCGCCTTGTGGGCCTCGAGTATTTGCAGCAAATGGTTGTGTTCTGTGGCGCTGTGCAAAGCAGAGTTCTGTGCTCCTGCTAAAGAGCTTCTTCATTAGTAATGGAGGTGCTTAGGTGCAATTTTTCATCATCAGGGTTACTAAACAAGCATTTGCATTTTGCTTTAAGAGTTCGTTTTTCTGAACAGTGTGTGAATTCATGTGGTTTGGGGTTTTTTTACCATTGAAGGTTGAAAAAATTGTGATTGTGTTCTTTTCAAATGGAAAATTGGCACGTGGAGAGAAATGAGTATTTTATCCTACTAAATTTTGGTCTCAAACATGAAATGCCCACAGTGTTCTTCCCTGCTCTTTTGAGTCACCCATTGGTTTCTGCCACTTCCTGGGTGTCTGCAGTTTTATTTTAATTCTGTGGTACATGTAGGTTCCTTTCGCAATTTATGTGAAATACTTAATGTACTGAACACACGTATTGATCAATTTTCAGATTAGGGATGAGTATTGTGTTTTGATAATTTATATTTTGATTGCTGTTAAAAAAATTTAGATGCATAGTGTGCCAAGATTGCTTACACAAGGAATTAGGTAATTATTTTTCTAAACAGAAATATTAGTATTGGAAGTTCAGTATCATTATCAGAGAATTTCCAGCTTTAGGCTTTTGATTTTTTAGAAAAATTCTGGTTTATGTAGGAAACCATACAGCTAGAATATCCTGTATTTTCCCTACTTAAGGAGAAACCAGGCAGGATATGATACTGGAATGAGACAATTCCTTAATTATTTTTTTCCCCAGGAGAATAGCATAGATCTAGAAACTGGTTTAGGAAGTTGAAAGATTAATTATCTTTATCCATGTCTTCTGTGTTCAGAGACTAATAGTTTATGAAAATTTGTATTTTTAAGGTATTTCAACAAATCATTGGATACCTATGTAATGTAATTTTTATCAAGAAAGAAAAAATGGTACTGAATCTCATATCAAACACATTAAAGGGCAGAACATTTCTGTGCAAACCAGTGAAATATGTCACTGCCATTATGTAAAGAGATAATTTCTTTACTTCTTTCCAAACATTCACTTCAGATACTAACATTTGCTTAGCATTTTGCAGTTCTAAAGCAATTCCTGTATGTTCTAAATATTGTTCTTTTACTTCATTTCCAGTATTTCTTGTACAGAAATTGTGTGTTTACCTTGGCTTTCTTTACCCCACATTTCTGTTAGTAGTTTCCTCAGAGCAATTTATATTGCTTATTCACAAATTTTTCCTGTGATTTTGTTTTGTTTTGTTTTCCCAGTATTCTTTTATAGATCAAGTCCCTGTGAGCTACCACCTATATAAAATTATGTCCATTTGGACTTAAATTCTGGTAAGAGGGCAACTTGCAATTCTTATTTTTCATTAAAATGTTATTAAAAAGAAACTAAGGAAACCAATGTCCTTTCTTCATACACATTGTTGTTTCTCTTGAAACTTTTGTTTGTCAGAGTCATTCCCCTCCAGCCAAAAGATTTCAGCTTTCCCTGCTCATTTATAGACCAGTGTCTAGTCTGACATTTCTAAGCATCAGTTTAATATTGAGCACTGGCAGCACTGCTCCATCATAACTTCAGAAGTGCTTAAAGCCTCCAGAGAAGCACAGAAAGATGTTTTGTTACTTAGTCCATCACATCCTACAAGAGCTCAGTGCTAGAACTTGAAACACTCTAATATTGAATGTTACTTGAAAATTTCAGGAGTACAGATCTATGAACTGGTGTGACAGTTAAGACCTTTGATTTGTATCATCTATTCTACAAGAGGCACCATTAGAAAATCCCTTGAAGTTGTTAGAAGGCTGTTAACTAATGAAGTGCACCATCACCTCTGTTTATGCCATTGGTGGCTTTCATCTATGATCTGAGAATACTTTTGCAAACAATGGCAGTGATTACTGTTCTTAGTGTAGAAATAATGAATCTTTCCTTGAAATGTTCTGTTTGACTTCCTGGCCTGTGCTGATGTGCATTCCCTGTTTCATTAGGACACTGCTGTTGCTTTCTCCTGAGACTGCCAGCTCAGATGACAGTTTTAGTAAGAGCAGGCAGAGGCTGAATGATGAAGAGCTTTAATAATCATCTGGGTTCACACATGTTAAAGTAACACACAGTCATTGAGCAGGTCACCCTCTCAGGGGAATGCTAACTCCAGAGCTATCAAAAAAGCTCTACTGATAAATTTAAAACATATTGACTTTGTGTGGCATGCAATCAAAAGCTGGTGGCAATAACACAGCAGGGTTCTTAATCACTTTGCTGTTACAGTCATGCTCCTGCTGTCATATTTCTAAAGGTTCATTTGTTAATTTGTTTAAAATAATGCTTAAGCAACTTGTACAGTTTCCAACAACTTCTGTGCTGAGTAAGTGTAGTGTGATATTAGACTTCCAGATAGTATGGGGGAAGGTTTTTAGAAAAAAATCACTATAACACTATGTGAAACATATTCTCATGGTTCTCAAGTGGCTTTTAAATGTTTGTATTTTTGAATTAAGTTTGCGTATGGGAATCTAATTCTTGTTAAGCTGAACACATGATGGGAAGTACTGGATATATGAGTGTATGTGTCTCTTTAAGCTG